GTGGTGGTGGTGGGAGCCATGGCCCTGGTCATGGTACTGAAGTGGTGGTAGCAGTGGTCATGGTGGGAGCCATGGCAGTGGCCGTGGTACTGAGGCGGTGGTAGCAGTGTGGTGGGGGCAGCCATGGCAGTGGTCATGGTAGTGATGGTGGTGAGGCGAGGGCGGAGCCAGGCAAGAGCTGAAGAGGGAAGAGGAGGCGGGTGTAGGCTTGCCGGACCAGCGTCGGCAGGATGTTAGTTGCAAGTGCACATCTACGAAAGATATTCCGGCCCGAGGCCTGTCTCTTTGCTGCTCAGTGCCTCAAGCCACTGGCCCTTGCTACCAGGAGCCACTTCTCACAGCCCAGGCCCTGCTGGCAGGCTGGTGCCCCAGGAGTCTGTCCTGTCCCTCCAAGCTGGCCCAGCTGTGTGCAGCTGGCGGAAAGCAGCCAGCACATCCAGGAAAGATTAGGGCTATTCAGGGACGGCACCAGAGCCACGTCCGGCAGGGAGCACAGCAGGTGCTCACGGCCCAGAGGTGGACAGAGTGAGCTGGGCAGGTGCGGCCCTGCAAAGATGCTTGATGATGGGGCTGGGAGTGCTCTGAAGGGTAGAGCCTTTAAGGAGCAAATTTTCCTGGAGGAGGAAACTTTGAGCTGAGCCTTTGCATTCATTAAGGTATCTGTTAACAAGTGACAGAAAACTACCTCCAAGTGAGCTCTAACAGTGAAGGAAGTGTAATAGTCCATACAGAAAATCCAGCAATAGGGAAGGCTTCAGGTGCAGTATGATCCAGGGGTTTATAGTAGTGGCAAGGCTACCGCTACACTTCACCATGGTTTTCTTAGCCTCCACCCATGTCTGGCTTTGTCCCAAGCCCTGTTCCCCTCGTGTCCTGAGGCAAGATGACCAGCCTAGTGGTTGAGCCTGGGTTCAAATCCTGGCTCTGCCACTTACTAGCCAGGTACTCTTTCACCTCTGAGAGCCTTGGTTTCCCCATTAGTAACATGGTACCTACCTAGGCGTTTTATGAAAATTAGAATCCTCATACAGGTAGAGCAGTTGGGACCAACTCCGGCACAGGACGCAGTCAGTAAACATTAACTAGGACGTGTGGCCACCAGCAGTCCCCAGAGCCCAGCTTCCTTGTTTGCCTCCCAGGAGACCATGGAGCGATCCCAGCTGCACTCTGTACCCACTTAAGTCAGTGATTGTTCCTGCACCAGGCACAATAGTGAAGGAATGTGATGGGCTCTAGCTTAGGTGTCTCAGGGTCCCTGAACTTGAGATTGGGTTGGGACCACCTGAGCCAATTGCTGGGAAATACGAGGCCCCTTAGGAAGGGAAAGGGATGAAAGGAGGCAAGTGGCAGTGCCCACTACAGCCTTGAGAGATGAGAAACGTTAAGGAAAATCATGGGCTATGATTGGAGCTGCTCCGGAGTTGTGCAGTGCACAGCCTATACATCGGGATACGGCCATCCTGGCGAAGACTATGCTTAATTCAGTACAAGATCACAGTGCACAAAGAGAAGGTGGTGGCATCTGGGGCTGGAGAGAAACAGACAGGGGCCACATCGAAAGCTTTGAAGCTGGGCACAGTGGCACACACCTGTAGTTCTAGGTACTCTGGAGCCAAGGTGGGAGGATTGCTTGAGCCCAGGAGTTCGAGACCAGCCTAGGCAACAAAACTAGACCTCGTCTCGAACAATAAAAATAAATAAGTAAATAAGCTTTGTGCAGTGGGTCCGTACAGCAAGGCTTAACCATCCTGAGTATGAGGCAGGGCAAGCGAAGTCAGGAAGAATGAGACCCGCTTATTGACTGACATTTTGTGATCCGGCCTTGCATATGTTCTGAAAAAGAAATGTAAAATATATATCTGAACACACCTCCCGTGCCCCTCTTTTCAAATTTCTCCTGTTTTTGATTTTACATCTTTTCCATTTCTCCCATCCAGACAGTGCTTGAAAGCTCCCCGTAATCACTGAGCCTCATTGAGCACTCACCAGGCCCAGGCATCATGTATTAGCTCATGAAACCTCACGAAAGCCTGAGAGGGAAGGACTGCTTGGGCCCACACTGCAAGGCATTGTTGAGTGACTTGCCCAGGGTCACACAGCCTGCAGAGGAACCAGGGTTTTACTCCCAGACATTCTGATTGTTGGTTTTTCATTCCATATACACGGAGGACAAAATTCTCTACTCCCCCCAAACAAAAGGCCTGCAGGAACAGTCGGGTGACACTTGCTGAAATGTGTCAGAAATATAAATATTGGAAGTAAGAAATCAAGGCCAAAGGGCTCTCAGATTCCTTGGTTCAAAGTCCTCATCAAGAACAACAAAGGCAATCCCGGCTCAGCTGCTCCCTGTGGAATGATCTCCCAGAGTTCCAAGCCTGGATTTGGCCTTCGGGGCCATGGAAACTCCCTCGAGGCTGTTTGGAGGGTCAGGAGAGGGAGCAGCTGCCTGTCTGTCTGTGTCCTTTCCTCCCCTGGGCAGAGAGGTTCCCCTCGGGGGTGTTCAAGGCCCCACCTGCACCCCTGCCTTAGCCCTTGCCAGGCGGGGGCTTGGGCAATGCTCTGAGTAAGCTGGCAAGTGAGGCTGCAGGAGCGACCGCTGGTGCCACGGGCCAGGGGGTCCAGCCAGGGATGGGGACCTGACCGCCCCTGTTCTTTCTTTTTTTTAATTGAGGTAAACTTCACATAACATAAAGCTCACCATTTTAACCATTTTAAAAAGTACAACTCACAGCATTTAGTAAATTTACAATGTTGCGCACCCAGTACCTCTAGCAAGCGCCAAAACGTTTTCCTCACCCCAAGAGGAAACCCGTCCCCATCAGCAGTCATTCCCACTCCTTCTTTCCCAGCCCCTGAAAGCCACTCACCTTTCCGTCTCTATGCCTTCGCCGGCTGCGGACACAGCATACCCATGGAGTCATACAACATGTGGCTTTTTGTGTCTGGCCTCTTCACTTGGCATAATGTTTTGAAGCTGCATCCAATGTGTAGCAGGTGTCGGAACGTCATTCCCTTCGATGGCTGAATAATATGCACTCGTGTGGACAGACCACATTTTGTTTACTCGTTCGTCGGTTGGTGGAAATCCAGGGCGTTCCGCTTTCGGCTACTATGAACAACGCTGCTACGAGCATTCCCGTGCGAGGTTTTGTGTGGACATGGCGTGTTCAGTCCTTTTGGACATATGCCTGGAGTAGGATTGCTGGGTCACTTGCTGACTCTATGCCTAACTTTTTGGGGGAGCCGCCGAGCTGTTGCCACGGATGGAAGCCCCACTCCGTACCCCCGCCACCGTGGCACAAGGCTCCAAGTCCCGCCTCTTCTTCCTGTCTTCGCAGTCCTCTTGTCGGGCGAGCAGGAACACAGTGAGTGGCTACTTCCTGGCAGGCCGGGACATGACGTGGTGGCCGGTGAGTGCACTGTGCCCTCTCGCACCCGCTCTTTTATCTGTGGGGTCACATCCTACCTCAGATCAGCCAGCACCTGCATCCCTCGGTCACTTTGCGTGTCTTCCTCATCCAAGGTCACTGCCCAGCGGGGCTCAATGGGGCGGCCCCGAGGCTAGCAGGGAGCAGGAGGCATAGGCCGGGCTGCGGGAACTGTAAGAGGTGGGGGCTTTGGGGTCTGAAACCTGCATCCGCTCCTTAGCTGGGTGGCCGGCCGTGGATATCCGCGCCCCAGGCTTCTCATCTGTGAAGTGGGGAGAGGGGCCCACTTAGGTTCCTGGGGATGAAGATTTTGTCAGGCGCAGGGTGGGCCGGCCTGGGGGCCTGTGGCTGATGTGTTTCCCTCTCTGTCCTGCAGATCGGAGCCTCCCTTTTTGCCAGCAGCGAGGGCTCTGGCCTCTTCATCGGATTGGCGGGCTCCGGCGCGGCTGGAGGCCTGGCTGTAGCGGGCTTCGAGTGGAATGTGAGCCCCATGGACCAGCGCAGCCTGTGGGAGGGCTGGGGCCAGGGTGCGGCCACCTTGACCCACCCTTCATTGGGGGCAGCTCCCACGAACTGGTGTTAGCCAATGTCCAGGCGGGCTCTGTGCAGTGATGTTCCTGGGCAAGTCTGGTCCTCAGGACACCAAAGCTGGCAGGGAGCTGTTGGCGGCCCAGGCTGTTAGTCTGCAGAGGCCCAGACAGGGGACAGGGCTGCCCGGGTTCTCCTGGCAAGTCAGGTGGCGGGAGCTGGGCCTCCCGCCTGCTCATCCCAGCCACGTCCAGCTGTGCCCTGGCTTGTGAGAGCCATGTGCGCCCATGGTCTTCTCCCGCCTCTGTCCCTGCAGGCCACGTACGTGTTGCTGGCACTGGCGTGGGTCTTCGTGCCCATCTACATCTCCTCGGAGGTGAGTCTGCTCCTGGGACCTCTAGCCAGGGGCTGGGCCTTGGTCCAAGTTGGTGGTGGTGATGGGCAGGAGCCCCATGGCCTCACGTTGCAAGTTAGTGAACTCAGGGCCGAGTTTGCATGAGTCCGACAAACACTCCTATCAACCCATGAAGGCAGCTCCCTGTGGACTTCAGCCCTGGTGTCGGCTGGTTTGCACCGTCCTGCATGCTGCATCTCAGGCGTGATGCTTCAGCCACTCAGGCACACAAGTTGCACACCTGGGCTGCACACCTGGGTGGCACACCTGGCTGCACCCTTCTTGACTCTGCCCACTCCTGAGTCCAGTCGATTCCACTTCCTGGATCTGCCTCAGCCTGTCCTCTGCTCTGCCTCTCACAGCCACGTCTCCATCCAGCCTGATCATAGCTCATCTGGGTTTGTCATAACAGTCTCTAAACTTGTACCTGTGCCGAGCCATGGCGCCTCCAGTCCCTTCCTCATCTCAGCCCTGAGGAGCCATCTCAGCATGCCACTGCCCGGCCCGAAACCCTTAGGACACGGTGGGAGCTCAGACCCGGAGCTCCAGGCCTGGGCTGGGGCTGAAAGGAGCCAGGGGCCTGGGCCTTGTCCCTGGGGGTTCGCGGCTGCTTTACACGCCAGGGAGAGACAGAGCGACTGGGACGGGCCCCAGCCCTGAATGTTGGGCCTGTGCCTCTCCAGATCGTCACTTTACCCGAGTACATTCAGAAGCGCTACGGAGGCCAGCGGATTCGCGTGTACCTGTCTGTCCTGTCCCTGCTGATGTCTGTCTTCACCAAGATATCGGTGAGCTGCCCCACAGCTCCCAGCCAGCAGAGCCTGGAAACACCCCTGACCTGGGGCCCCTGGGGAGCAGGCTCAGCAGCTGGCCCTGTCAGTAGCAGAATGCGGCCTAGTGCTTTGCCCCAGGTCCTAGACCGCGTTAGGACGGTCCTGGGGGTGAGAGGTCAGTGCTGGGCAGCCACTGAGGTGTGTGGGACTGACCACTAGGGGGCGCCAAAGCCCTGCGGTCCCCGCCAGTCCCAGGGCCAGTGAGCTCCATCCTTCTGCCTTCCTTATGGGCCTGAACCAGCCCACTGGAACATTAAGAGCAGGAAGCACACCCCAAATGTCAGAGTCAGGAGGAGCTGAGTCCCTGACTTTACAGATAGGAGAACTGAGGCCCAGAGAGGGGAAGGAACTTGTCCCAATCTCCTGGTGACGGCCTTCCAGCTGTCACTCTGAGTCCCTGGCAGCATCCGGCCTCGACAGCTCCAGGCTTCCGAAGGGAGTGTGAGCCCTGGGGCTGCCTGATTCTGGCTGAGGGAACTAGACAAGTCCCCGGGCCTCCCTGAACCTCGGTTCCTCACGTGCAAGGGTGGGGTGGCCTCCCAGGACTGCTGCGCCGTCTGTGGGAAGTGCCCTGTGAGGCCTGGCTTTCTCATTGATGTCACCTCCTGGGCCCTCTTCCTTCAGCTCTGGGACTGGGGAAACCCAGGTGTGGCGTTGGTTTAGTGGCAGAATGGAGGCTGTAGAGGCCTCACGGGCAACCGGGAGCTGTGGGCAGGGCTACCTGGGAATGGGGCCTGGGAGGAGGCTCCACCTAGCATCTGACCTGCTCCCTACCCTCCTGGAGTGTCCCCACCACGGCCTTGGCCCAGCCTCCACCTGCACTGGTGCCCACAGGCAACTCCAGGGACGTCCCCAGGGCATCTTGTCATTCTCGGGCAGGTTCCCATGAGTGGTTAGCAGCAAGCCTTGCACTGCCATCTGCACTGACGCTCTCAGGGTATCATAAGAGGTTTTCTTCCCCTGGGGATCCCCTCAGAGTCTGGAGGGACTTGGCCTTGGGCTGTCCTTGAGGACAAGTTCAGAATTTTCTGCTCACACTCTTCCTCGCTCTCCTATGTTTCCTGAGCACCCCACCACCACCAGCAACCTCCCTGGGAGCCAAGATACAGAAATAACTGGAGACCTGGCCCGACCCACCAGGGGGTCCCACCGCAGCAGGAGGCGGATGGATAAAGGGGACGGACGGGCATGGACCTCAGCAGGGGACGTGACAGGGCTCGCTGGGGTGGCCTTTGAGTTGGGCCCTAATGGAGACAGGGATACTGATGGGGGAGGGGGCAAATGCCAGGGGCAGAGGTGGGGGGTGGGGGGTGCGTCTGGGGGTTTGGGTCAGGAGCCTAGGCTCTAGGGGGTCACTGAGTCAGACACTTCTGGGACCAGCTGGGGAGCAGCGTGAGGAGGGGCTGGGGTGAGGTAATAGAGAGCGGTGGGGACTGAGGCATTCTCACCAGCCAGGGGCCGCCACATTTCCACTCCTGCCCTGCCATGAGGGATGGGACCGGGGCGCTCTGACTGTGGGAGGTCGAGGTGGCCGAGGGGCACTGGCGGCTGTGAGCAGGGGTGTGATGTGGCTAGGTTCGCATGTTCGTGCTCTCTGGAACCTCCTGGAGAGTGGACCGGAGGGGGCCGAGAGGCGAGGAGGGAGGGCAGTGAGGAGACCTGGTGGGGCCGGTGAGGGAGGTGAGGCTGAGCCACGGGCACAGGGCTCTTTGACTCTCGGTCTCATCCTCTGACGTGGCTGCGGCAGAGCTTCTCCCTCCCACTCGGAGAGCTTAAAATGGGACTTCCCGAAGGGCTGCCGGAAGAGGCCAATAAAGTGGGAGGACCCTTAGAGAACATATTGTCCAGCTCCCCCAGTTCACAGATGAGGCACTGAGGCCTAGAGAGTGGCCCTCACTTGCCCCAGGTCACAGCGAATCAGGCAGAGACCACGGCTAGAACCAGGCCTCTGCTGCTGGCCCAGGGGCCCGACTACGCCGCTGCCCTGAAGCAGCCGGGACACGGTCCTTGCAGCTACACTTTGCAATGCGGGTGATTCGGTTTTCCCAACTATGAAACAGGGAGAAATCCACTTACATCAAGGCCGGGCTTCCGAATGAGCGCTGGGGCTGCCTGGATGAGGCTGGGGCGCGGCTCGAGGGCCGCTCAGTGCTGGGCTTGGTGCGGGGGAGAACGGGGCGCCCTGGCCGCGGGCTGGGAGCGGAGCGGCTTGAAGTGCCACAGACAGCGCCCCAGGAGCACGCCTGTGTCTGCACACCCGGGCGCTGTCCCCAGACAGAGACACATGCCGCCGTCCCTCAGATGGGGCACTGGCCTGCGGAGAGGACCTGCAGTGGCAGGGGACGGAGACTCACCCCCTGAACCACGGGGCAGGGACCTGAGGTCCAGCTCTACTGCTTCGGGGCTCTGGAAAATAGGAGAACAGGCATGGTACCCCACGCCGCTAGGAGCGAAGGTCCTCCATGGCGTGACCCTGCCACCTCACTGACCTCACCTCTGCCTCTTCTCCCTCGTGCGCCGCTGCAGCCATATGGGCCTCTTTGCGCTCCCACAGACGTGCCAGGCATGTCCCAGCTCAGGCCTTTGCGCTCGCTGTGGCCTCTGCCTGGAAGCCCCTAACCCAGCCGTCCACGTGGCTCCCTCACGTCCGTCAAATCTCCGCCTCTGCCCCCGCCCCAGCAGGCCCAGCCCCTCACCTGCTGCCCCTCCTCACACGCGTAGCATCTTCTGGAATGCGCGTGATGGGCTCGGAGTGTCTACTGCCCGTCCCCCAATTCTCTTTGCTCGGCGATGCGTCCCCAGTGCTACCGCGTGCCTGGCACCGCCGCGGGGCGAGAGAGGGAGAATATGCCGGGGCGGCTCAGTTTGTTCTGTGAAGACGTTCCAGCAGAGTTGACCCGGAATAGACCGAGACACACACAGAAATACGGCAAAACAGGTTTCTACACGCCGGCAGACTCGGGGATTTCCTCCCAAATTCTGAGCCCCGAATAAAGAACATAGCAGTCTTTTATACATTTTGCTTAGGGAGGGAGTGGGGCACAGTTAACGAGTGAGGCAGTGGGGCACAGTTACAATGTTATCTTTAACTGGGGCAGGGTCTTGAGCCACTTTGGCCCATGCAAGCAGTTTACAGAGGCAAGAGTGACAGCTGTTCGTCAGTGGAATTCTCCACTTTATTCCCCCCCTTTGATGCCCCTATGTATTTATCATGAGGCATTTGTCCTCGTGTGTCTGTTATAGGGCATCATTTTCTAATGGGTGATAGCCCCGTAAGGCCATTATGTGGGCTGCTGCCTTTTGAGTTACAGTTGTTTTTATAAATTTTATAATTGCGCTTAGTACGCATGGGCCTGTAGTGACAAGGAGGAGAATAGTCATTAAAGTTCCTGCCAGGGGCAGTAGCCATGAGGTCCATTAGCCCAGATTGAGTCCCCAAGTTTGTTCTAGTTCTCTATTTCTTCTCTGGACTCTTTCTTTTAATTCTTTTACCTTGGCTGTCACTATTCCAGACTGGTTTACATAGTAGCAACCTTCTTCTCCTAGGAATATACAGGTCCCTCCCTTTTCTGCAGTGAGGAGGTCTAGGGCTTGCCTGTTCTGGAGGGTAACTGCTGCCAAAGAGTCTAGTTGGTTTTGAAGGGTTATTAGGGAATCTGCTACCTGTTGTATGTCTTCGTTTAGTTCTTGAGATAGCTTTTGGTAGACATGTAGCGAAGTCCCTAATCCACCAAGTCCAGCCCCTACCCCAGCTATGATGCCTCCTCCCACCAGGAGTGGTATGAGAAAAGGAGCTCGCTTTTCCCGGACACTTGGGTGGGGACTTAAAACCTTCTCCATTTGAGGAGTGGTGTATATAGTGATGTCTGGGGTAAGGAAAATCTGGGTGCAGACCCCAGTCCAGTTGACTGGGAGGCAAAGGTAAGCAGTGCTACCACAAAGGAAGAACAAGCCCTCTCTGGGACAGTGCATAGTGGAGTTGAGAGTTTGGTTGTTGCTGCATAGACTGACTGGCAGAGTCCCTGTAGGTTTACTTCCTTTTAGGTTGACAAGACAAGTGATGTTGGATGTCTCAGCCAGATGGACGTTATATGTCACTGGTCTAACTAGGTGTGTCTTGCTGGGGTTAATGGTGGAACTGATGGAATTGTTCCAGCCCGAGGGGACAGGGACTCCAAAGTATACACGTCTTTGGAGCTGCAGACAGATCCAACATTGGGTGTGATTGGGCAAAGCATTAAGGGTGGAGTTGAGAAACTTAGCTGTCTGTGGAATAGTATCCAGAGGTCTCGAAACTGGCCTCATTATACTCTGGGAATCTGGAAGCTGTGAAGCAGTATCTTGGGGCCTTGAAGCTGGCTTTGACATATTTTTTGTACTTTCAGTGTTTCAGGTTTCACTGAGGAGCCCTGAAACATACCCTCAGCAGATTTTGGCACCCCTTTTTGGCCTGTTATCTTTATCTGGTCCCACATCCATCTTTTGTTGTAGTACCTGTCCAATATCTTCTGCACCCCTGAGTGCAGATTTGTGGGTTTATGTAACGACCTCCCTTAAGACTAGTACAAGCCCAAAAATCTTTAGTTCTGTAACAAGGGTAAGTATCATCATCTAAATTATCACATTTTCAGACGTCCTGGATACATTCTGGAGGGCAAGGGAGAGGGCTACTGATGACGGTAAGTGGGAGACAGACGAGGATTAGAATGGGGAACAACACTGTAACCAGAGAAGGGACCCTACCACAGCCCAATATATGATGACTAATAACAGTCTTTCCCCTGGACCCCGTCCTCTGGGGCCACTGAGTAAAGTCCCATGCCCAGTAATAGGGCCAATAGTCTGAACAGGCCGATGGCGATGTAATAGGCTGGCTCGGTCATTTGGCTTGGGTGACCTCTGGCGTGGTTGCTGGGCCGTCACTATGTTGGAGGTGGATCTTTAGTGGGTCCTCT